CACAGCTCTGCATCAGGGGGGGCTCGACCACAGCACCATGACCTGGGCAGCTGCAGGGCCGGGTGCCAGAGCCACGGTGCTCCCAGGGGCAGGGGGCTGATGGGCTCTGACGGCTGGTGAGCCCTGAGCCCTCCAGGCAGGTGGGGCCGTACCTGTCACATGAGGGGGCACAGCGCAGCAGGGAGATCACCACATCCTCAGGGTGTGCCTTGGTCAGTGCTAGAAGGGTGTTATCCAGCACATGCCCATCAGACACATTGGAGGTCAGGCACCGGTGGATGTGCCTCACTGCAGCTGGCACCTGGAGAGCACACAGGGGAGAGATGGAGAGCTGCCAGAGGGAGCAATTCCCCAGCTTCCCCTGGGAAGTGTTTCCCTTCCCACCACACTGTGCTGGCCTCAAAGGCTGAGGGGGCCCAACAGAACCAGTCTGAGGGCCCACACAATCCCTACCCACAGGCTACTTACTTGAGAAGGGACAACTCCATCGCTGGAAAAGTCCAGGTCGGGAGCATCGAGCAGGCACTGAACGGCTGTGGTGTCAGTGCCTGTGGTGACCTCAGTCCCTAGGGTGTCAGCCTTCCTACGCCCAACAGGAATGGATTTCTGCACCCTCTGCAGGAAAATGAAGGGCAGGGAAGAGAGGGATGTGTCATGGAGATCTCTGACAGTGGTGCCATGCTAAGAAGGGACAGGAGGCCCAGCCCACTGGGGGATGGCTGCAGGTACCTGATCAGCTCTGCGGGAGTGGCCACGGGCACGGTCCTGTTCTTGTGTCCGGTCCTGGCCTGGATCTGGCAAAGAATGAGCACAGTCAGAGCTGAGGGGCTGTGGGACAGCCCAGAGAACACAGCCCAGCCCTGCGCTCCACAGGCAGGGCTAGCCCCGGGATGCCCAGTGCATGGAGCTGCCAGGGGATCAGCCACGGGCCCTCTTCCCCCTCCCTATCCCTGGCCATGTCCACAGAGGATGGGATGGGAAGAGGCCCATCTGGCTGAAACCACCAGCCCTGTGGCCCAGCTTTGCCACTCACCTTCCTGCAGGGGCTGGGACTGCTCCACCTCTTCAGGCTGCTCTGTTGGGGTAGTACCAGGGCTTTCTTCCTCCCTCTTCTTCAGCAAGGCCAGCTTGGACACCCTGGGAGGTCTCTGTTTCTTCTCTCTGTGGGGCATCCTGGTTACCTGCAGGAGACATGGCATCTAAAAGCTCTGGGTCACCAAGTCCTGCAGAAGTGCCTTGAAGGCACCTGAAACAGGAGCCTTGGGAATGCTCAGGCTCATCAAGGTCCACAGTCTGGCCTGGAGGGGACATGGGGCATTTGGAGAGCTGCCAGACAGAGCAACTTGCCCAATTTTCCTTGAGAAATGTTGCCCTTCCCATCACACTGTGCTGGCCTCAAAGGCTGAGGAGGCACAGCAGACCCAGCTTGAGGGCCCACACAGTCCCTACCCACAGGCTGCTTACTTCCACAGAGACAACTCCCTCCTCGAGAATGACCAGACTGAGATCATCATCCAGGCACTGATCGGGTGTGATGTCAGTGTTTGCGATGCCCTCAGTCTGTGGGGTCTCAACCTTGGCCTTCACCTCGGTCACATTGGGATCTGGCTCTGCCATGACCTTGGGTGATGAGGTCTGGGCCTTTCTGTGCTCAACAGGAACGGTTTTCCGCACCCTCTGCAGGAGAACAAAGGGCAGAGAAGAGAGGGATGCGTCATGGAGAGCTCCGACAGCAGTGCCAGGCTGAGCAGGGACAGCAGGCCCAGCCCAGGAGGCGATGGCTGCACGTACCTGTACTGCCCTGCGGAAGAGACCATAGGCACGGTCCTTCTCCTGGGTCCTGTGCCGCCCTGGATCTGACAAAGAGCGAGCACAGTCAGAGCTGAGGGGCTGCGGGACAGCCCGGAGAACACAGCCCAGCCCTGCGCTCCACAGACAGGGCCAGCCCCGGGATTCCCAGTGCATGGAGCTGCCGGGGGATCAGCCCTGGGCCCTCTTCCCCCTCCCTATCCCTGGCCATGTCCACAGAGGATGGGATGGGAAGAGGCCCATCTGGCTGCAGCCACCAGCCCTGTGGCCCAGCTCTGCCACTCACCTTCCTGCAGGGGCTGGAACTGCTCCACCTCTTCAGGATGTTGAGCTGGTGAAGCTTCAGGGCGCTCCTCCTCTTCCTTCTTTACACGGGCCAGCTTTGGAAGCCTGCTGGGTCTCCGCTCCAGGCCTCTGTCTGGTTTTATGGCTGCCTGCAGGAGACATGGCACAGAAAAGCTCTGGGTCAATAAAGAAGTACCTTGAAGGTACCGGATAAAAAGAAGCCTTGGGAATGCTCGAGGTCATCAAGTCCCACATTCTGGCCTGGAGTGGGCATGGGGAAGTTGGAGAGCTGTCAGAGGGAGCAACTTGCCCACTGTCCCTCGTGAAGTGTTTCCCTTCCCACCACACTGTGCTGGCCTCAAAGGCTGAGGGGGCCCAACAGACCCAGCTTGACGGCCCACGCAGTGCCTGCCCACAGGCTGCTTACTTCAATAGAGATGACTCTCCTCTGCGGAACATCCACACTAGGAGGATCAGGCAGGCACTGAACGGGTGTGCTGTCAGTGTCTGCCATGTCCTCATCCACTGCACCCTCAGTGTCCGTGATGAACTCAGGCACTGGCCTGAGCTCACTCGGCGTGGGGTCCGGCTGTGCCATGACCACAGCTGGTGTGATCCTGGCCCCTCTACGCCTCCAGGATGTCATCCAAATCACGTCTCTGTCTTCATCCCCCAGGAGCTGCACGAGGCTTTTGTTCAGGCTCCAGATGTTCTTGTCCTAGGAGGAACACAAGGCTGGGCTGTGAAGTCAGGAACGGCTGCAGAGCCAACCCCGCTCGGGCGGTTCCGCAGGGCCCGGAGGCCAAAGGCCTGACCTGAGGGACTGGGGCAGCTGAACAGGGAGGCAGCAGAGCTGGGAGGAGCTGCCACAGCTCCCAAAGCCCAGCCAAGCACAAGTGCCTGCCTTGCCCAACCCCACGCTGCCCATACGGCTTCAGCCCCTGCCCCTTCTCACCATCAGGGGATCCTGGATTAGTGCTGTGAGGACTCGGAGTGCCAGTTGACACCACTTCTTGTTTGTACTGATGGAGGGAGAACTCCATCGCTGGAAAAGTCCAGGTTGGAAGCATCGAGCAGGCACTGAATGGTTGTGGTGTCAGTGCCTCTGGTGACCTCAGTCCCTGGGGCGTCAGCCTTCTTACGCCCAACAGGAATAGATTTCCGCACCCTCTGCAGGAAAAGGAAGGGCAGGGAAGAGAGGGATGTGCCATGGAGATCTCTGACAGTGGTGCCAGGCTGGGAAGGGACAGGAGGCCCAACCTAGGAGGTGATGGTTGCAGGTACCTGATCAGCTCTGTGGGAGTGGCCACGGGCACGGTCCTGTTCTTGTGTCCGGTCCTGGCCTGGATCTGGCAAAGAGCGAGCACTGTCAGAGCTGAGGGGCTGCGGGACAGTCCAGAGAACACAGCCCAGCCCTGCGCTCCACAGGCAGGGCCAGCCTGGGATGCCCAGTGCATGGAGCTGCCAGGGGATCAGCCATGGGCCCTCTTCCCCCTTCCCTATCCCTTGCTATGCCCACATAGGATGGGATGGGATGGGAAGAGACCCATCTGGCTGCAGCCACCAGTCCTGAGGCCCAGCTTTGCCACTCACCTTCCTGCAGGGCCTGGGACTGCTCTATCTCTTCAGACTGCTGTGCTGGGGCAGGCCCAGAGCTTTCTTCCTCCCCCTTCTCCAAGGCCAGCTCAGGAACCCTGGGAAGTCTCTGTTCTGTGCCTCCGTAGGGCTTCACCTGCAGGAGACATGGCATCAAAAAGCTCTGGGTCACCAAGTGCTGCAGAATTGCCTTGAAGGCACCTGAAACAGAGGAGACTTGGGAATGCCTGTCACCCTGACTGACTGCTATGGCCGTGCCTGAGGGCAGACTCACCTGCCACACTCAGGTGTCCCACAGCAGTGGCACTGCTGCCATCCTTAGAGACTGGGATGGGATATCAGCCTTGGGGTGCAGCTGCTGAACCTCTCCTCCACGCAGGCACCTCAAAAACACATGCATGGACTTCTGAACTCTAAATCCAGGCCTTTCTGGAATAAAGGGAAGAAGCAGCAGAAGCTGAAGCAGAGCCTCATATGACTCAGCTTTCAGGATGGAGGGAAGTCATTCCTTTGTGGTCTGCTGCAAAGATGGCCAAGCTCACAAGCTCAGGTTTTGCTGCTAGAGGATGCTACTTTGGGCTTGCTGGAGCCCATTCCCTAGCAGTGCATGGCCCCACATTGCTCTTGGATCAAGTGTTCTGGACCCGTGGGAACACGTGTGCTGTGTCCATGCGAGAGCAGCAACTGGCAGAAGGTGTCTGCTGCCAGCATTGTCTGGGCTGCTCCTTCAGTGGGGTGGCACCTTCATCAGAGACACAGAAGAGCTTTGGATCCCAGAGTCCTCCCTATCCCCTTCACTTTCCCCAATCCCAATGGACAGCAAGAGTTTTCTGAGCAGGAAGAGTTTGTCCGGGAGGAATCTTCCTCCCTCTTGAATTTTGGCAGTCAGATGGCCAAATTCAGCGCCGCGCACCCGCAGTCCAGCGACTGCCGTTCCACCCGGGAAAGGAAGCCCTTACCCTCCATCTCTCAAGCACAGTTGGTGCACCACTCTCGGCACTACCTGGACAGCAAGAGCTTTCTGTTGCTGGCCAGCAAGAGAATCATTTATTATTTGTTTCAAGTCTCTCTTTATAGAGAAACTAGTTTCATCTAGTGAGGAAAGCATCTTCAACCTCTCAACAAGATGGACTTGGCCTCTCACATTACAGGATGCAAATTTCTGTCCATCTTTACACCCATAGGCTTCCAACATGTGTTCTTCCTCTCTTCAGTCTTCTTGCTCTGGGTCAGGCAAAGATCACACCATCTGGGTCCAGGGACTGTGGTCACCACCTCCTATCTTCCGCTGTGTTCTTTTCCGTTCTCTCACACTGCTTCAGTAACCCTTTGTGTGGTCGGGCTGGTCAGGATCCTCCACAGGGAATGGGCTCCAGCAAGCCCAAAGTCAGATCTTCCAGCAGGAAATCTGGGCTTGTGAACTGGGCCATCTTTGCAGCAGAGCCCAAAGGACTGACTCAGGTGGCCCCAACAGACAGAGCTGCCTGGATCAAGCCTCCACACAGCTCCAGCAGCACAGGCACGCACAGCCTCACCGAGAAGGGTGCGTATTCCATGCCCTGCAGAGCTGGTCTTGGAGCTGCTGGAACCTGGGGT